AGTATGCCAGACCTCTGATCTAACCAACAACCTGTTTCTGGTCCTTTCCTGCTTTGTAGTGCGCCAATCATACTATAGAATTGTTTTATGATTTTCCCGCGATGTGTAGTCATTTGTTATAAGATGCTATGATGTAAAAAAAAGTGTATAGAAAGTGCTATAACCCTGGGCTCAGGGCCTCTCAGCGTCGCCAGTTACCTGGTGTGTGGAGGACCAAGCTCGAGCTTACAATAAAGACTTCTTTGCTTTTACATTGGTGACAGTCTCTGGTGGTCTTTTGGGTAAGGATTTCCGAATTCAGCTTTACACTTGGTGCATTGGCTGGGAATCTCCCCTCCCCCCACCCCGCCCCTGCCCCAAGGCCACCCAGAAACTGAGAAACCCTGCCGGTAAGTTGAGGCATTGCCGCTCTGTAATTATCTGGTATCTGAGTTGCTTGCAGGTTCTCTATTGGGGTTGGCAAGAGGTCTTGGTAGACGTGCTATAAGACAGCCAACAGGGACGGTGGGAAACATCCCCCGGGCCCTCTCAGGGTAAACTATCCACTAGTGCGGATGTTGGAGTCCGGCACTTTCTGACTGATAGTGTACAGGGTAGACTGTCCACTAGTGCAGACATTTGGGCCCATCTGTAGTCCAGCACTTCCTCACTGACAGTCTACAATGTGCACGCTGTGAACGTGTCTTGTCTCAGTGTTCAGTGTTGTGTGTGTGTGTCTTTTGGAATTCTTGGAATGTTTCTCCTCCTAGATTCATCTTGATGCCAGGGTTCAGAGGAGACTGGCAGACACCCCCTTAATATCTGTTTCTCTCTAGCTCCTTCTTTTTTTTTTTTTTTTATGAAACTGCCACTGACCACCTGCAAGATCTTAGCTTCAGGCCTTGGTCCAGGGGGTCTGAGCATGGGGGAGGACCTGTCAGTCTGAGGGGACGGCCACCAAGGACTTCTTTCCCTTGCCCCAAGATGACCGGGAATTCTCCTCTGCCTTGGAAAGCCCCTGGGTCAATGTTTGCAGGAATCTAAAAGAAAAATCCTCTGAAGGTGAGTAGGGAGGTTCGAGTCCCCTGGTAAGTGACTGATGGTGAGATGTCGCCCCATTCACTGAGACCTAATTTTTCTTTGTGGCCACTTGTCTGTCTTGTTTACTTCAGTGTATTTTCTGTTCTATGTTTTCTGAGGTAGGGAAGGCCTGGGTGAGAGTGGCAGGCTTACTCAGCAAACTCTGGATTCAGCTTGAAAACGGCACAGAGTTCTAGGGGCCCATTAGTCCCCAACTCAGCCTTTGGTTGTTGTCTTGTCTAGTTCTGTTTTAGAATTGGTACAAGTTTTAAATGTGACTCATTGGTTTTTGTGTTTATCTGTGTTTTTGTTACCTAGTTGAACATCTCTGGGGGAATAAAAGTTCCAGCCTCCCACCAGGCTTGGTCACAGACCTGCTAAGTCCCCCACCTTGTGTTACAGCAGCTAAGAGGCGGGGCATGGACAAGCCTGAGGCTGCACCTTCTCCCAGTGGAGGCTGCTGGAGGAGAGGCGAGGGTGTAGATAGCAGTGAGCCTGGTCTGGACTTTCAGCTGCTCCAGACAGCTTAACAATTTGTAAAGTGCTCTTGTCAAAATTGGGTAAAAATCTGGCCAGTTTAGTTTCAGGTGACCCCCCCCCCAGCCTTCCTCCAACAGAAGGGATTCAAAAGACTGATTGGTAAAATGCCTTGCTAAACAAGCAAGTCTTGGGAAAATGAAGCTCAACAAAGGTACTTCGATTAAAAGAAATATTGTCTTAATTTTTTTGTTTAAAAACTTTAGAAAATATATGTACAACTGATTTTAATTTTTACATACTTTAAGATCTGTGTGTGTATTTTGTGTGCATGTGAACATGTTCAAGATAAGAATTGTCAGTATGCTGTAACAATTGGGTGAGTTTAAGTTTAAAATTCAAAAGGTTATGAGGTTTGGACATTACCAAAAAATTTAAAGAATCTTCACATTGTTTTAAAAGGCTTTTTAAGGATTCTTTAACTTGAAAACTTAAAAATCTGGGGCTGGGCAGGTGGCTCAGTGGTAGAGCACTAGCCTTGAGCTGAAGAGCTGAGGGACAGTGCCCAAGCCCAGAGTTCAGGCCCTACGACTGGACCAAAAAAAACAAAAAACAAAATTTAAAAATCTGGTATTTTAAAATCTAATTTTAAAATACATAAGGCTGTTTACACTGTAATCAAGATATCTGGCATAACAAAAATGCATTGGCAGTTTGGGATTTAGTTCCCTTGGC